GATCATCCGATCGCTCTAACCATCAGTCTGGGGATGGTAAGCAGTGCTGAAATGCAACTGGGTGCCCAACTTCTCATGAAATATCCTCCAGAATCTGTAGGTGAACCGAACATCGCGGTCCGAGACCACAAATACTGGCACTCCGTGCCTGACCACCACCTCCCGGACATAAATATCTGCTAATTTCTCGGTGGAGATACTCTTGGAAATCGGAATAAAATGAGCACTCTTGGTCAAATTATCCACAATAATCCAAATGGAATCAACACCCCGCGTCGTCCTAGGTAGCTTTGTGATAAAGTCCATGGTGATCTCCTCCTATTTCCACATGGGGATGGGTAACTGATATGTGCATATTTATACACATAATTATACATCATAACTTAATATTTTAATTACTTTTATGCCCTTATTAGAACAAAAGATACTTAATTTGTTATGACTTATGTTGTAGGGATAAAATATATGCTTGGAGCAAAAAGGAAGCTGGAAGCTGGACCTGGGAGTTGGGAGTTTGAATCAAAGCTTTAAAATGAAGAAAAAATACCCAACACGTCGTGGTGGATTTCCCACGGCGTGGTGACTTGAAGAATCTCGATTTGCTTCGAAGACTTGTAGACCACGAGATAAACACGAAGACCACGACGTGATGGCCTTACCACGTCGTGGTGCTCTGAATTCGAGAAAACTATATATTGATCTCATTCTCCTCCGAATTGGAACCTTTGGCTCTGGAAGTAATCATCACTTTTGAAGGCAAAGCACCTGTTCTTAGGCTTGGAAGCAAGGATTTCGATCAACCCATTGGAAGGAGGAGCATTAAGGCAACAAATCTCTACACTTTGATTTTTCATTAGTTTCTACCATGCAAATTCTTTGAATTTTGATTTTGTGTTTTTGTTTGCTGAAATCATGAGCTAAATACTCACGACTTTCGTTTACCCTAGGATGGATTGATTATTTAGGTTGAATTTATGGATTGGATTTAGCTATTTGGTTATTTGTTGATTTTTCTTATTAAAGAACCTCAAGTACTTTTGATAACTATTTTCTCTACTTATTGCTGAATTTGATTAATTTAGTATGACTATCTTCTTAGTTAAATTTAATTCTTATGATCTTGTGAATTGCAAAATTATAGGACTAGAGTTGTGAACAAAACCTAGGGTTAAGTAGAAAAGTGGGTAAAAAGGTATAGGATCTAATATATGACGACAAATCATATACTGAATTTAATCAATAAACTAGATTGATCAATTGATTATAAGTCTAATCAATTCGAACCAAACACTAGTAAACTTGTAAGTTTGTATGCTTGATCAACGAATAAATAAGCTAGTTTGCTAAAGGATTAAATTAGTGAATATTAATTTGGTCATCTTAGGAATCGGTAACTGAAGAAACTAAAATCCATTGCACTTCCATAAATCAACCATTTATAACAAGTAAAACCGAAGCTAAACGAAAGTCTCTTACTCATATTAGTTAATTCATCGTTGTTCTCTTGCCTTAGTTTAAGTGTTAGTTTAATTAATTGATAATTAGTTAGTTTGGTAATTTAAGTATCTGGTCTTGCAAAACTAGGAAAACAAAACCTTTTCGAATTTTATTATTAAGTAGTAAATAGTGGAATAAAGTTAGCCAAAACACCGTTTCTTGAATTCGACACTTGTTCTTACCATAGCTATACTATTACACGATTAGGTACACTGTCTCGTGTGTTTAATAGTCTAGTGAAAGAAACATTAGTTTTATCAATTTGAAACTTGAACAAATATATATACACATTAAATACACATCAACTTTTTCGCGCCGTTGTCGGAGAACGGTGCAGTTTTAGTTACTTTAAATCTGCTATTTGCATATAGACGCATGTCTTTTGGGTTATGCAATGCACCGGCTACATTCTCAAGGTGCATGATGGCTATCTTCCATGACATGATCGAGAAATTTATGGAGGTTTTCATGGATGACTTCTCGGTTTTTGGGTCCTCTTTTGAGGATTGTTTATCCAACTTATACCTAATGTTAGCAAGATGTGAGAAGACAAACCTAGTCCTAAATTGGGAAAAATGTCACTTCATGGTAAATGAAGGGATTTTGTTAGGACACAAAGTCTCAAGGTCGGGGATAGAGGTGGATAGAGCCAAAGTTGACACGATAGCTAAATTACCACCCCCAACGAATGTAAAATGGGTAAGGAGCTTTCTAGGCCATGCGAGATTTTACCGTCGTTTCACTAAAGACTTTTCGAATATCACGAGGCCGTTAACTCAAATTCTTTTAAAGGATGCCCCATTTGACTTTTCTAAGGAATCTCATTAAGCCTTTCAATTGTTAAAGGAAAAGTTGACTACTACCCCTATTATGATAGCCCCAAATTGGAGTCTTCCTTTTGAGCTTATGTGTGATGCTAGTGACTATGCGGTGGGGGCAATTTTGGGACAAAGAATTGACAAACATTTTCAACCTATCTACTATGCTAGCAAAACCTTAAACCCAACTCAAGAAAACTACACTGCCACCGAGAAGGAGCTGCTCGCGGTGGTTTATGCTTTTGATAAATTCCGCCCATATCTAGTTTTGTCAAAGACAATTGTATTTACCAACCATTCTGCCCTTAAGTATCTCTTTGCTAAACAAGATGCTAAACCAAGACTAACACGTTGGGTATTACTTTTACAAGAGTTTGACATTGAGATTAGAGACAAAAAGGGAATGGAAAACGTAGCAGCTGATCACTTATCGCGACTAGAGAACCCGCACTTGGAAGAATTAGAAGAAAACAAGATTGGAGATGATTTTCCCGAAGAGTATCTTATGGTTATAGCAGGAGAAATACATTGGTATGCAGATTTAGCCAACTACTTAGCAAGTGACTATATTCCAAAAGATTTGACGAGACAACAGAAGAAGAAATTCTTTTCTGAAATCAAGTATTACTTTTGGGATGAGCCATACCTCTTTCGAAGCTGCGCGGACGGTATGATAAGAAGATGTGTATTCGGGAAGGAGAGTCGAGAAATCTTGAAACATTGTCATAGCGGGCCCACCGGAGGACATCATGGAGCACAATATACGGCTAAAAAGATTTTTGATACGGGTTTTTATTGGCCTACAATTTTTAAAGATGCCGCTCAATATGTTAAGGAGTGCGATTCATGCCAAAGGTCGGGAAATATTTCATCCCGAAATGAGATGCCCCAAAATAACATTCAAGTTTGTGAGATACTTGATATATGGGGGATTGACTTTTTGGGACCGTTCCCAATGTCCAAAGGAAATAAATATATATTGGTGGCGGTAGATTATGTATCTAAATGGACGGAAGCACAAGCATTACCTTCTAATGATGCTCGTGTGGTGGTGCGTTTCCTTAAGAAGTTGTTTTCAAGATTTGGTGTTCCTAAGGCTCTAATAAGTGATCGAGGCACCCACTTTGCAAATGATCAATTGGCTAAGGTGTTAAAAAAATATGGTATACACCATAGATTTTCAACATCATACCATCCACAAACAAGTGGGCAAACCGAAGTTACAAACCGGGCATTAAAACGAATATTGGAGCGATCGGTTGGAAGTAATAAAAAAGAGTGGTCGGATAAGCTTGATGATGCACTTTGGGCATTTCGAACGGATTTTAAAACACCTATTGGTACTACACCATATAGGTTGGTCTATGGAAAGAACTGCCACTTGCTAGTTGAAATCGAGCATAAAGCATTTTGGGCTTTGAAGATATGTAATTTTGAACTAACCGAACTTCGTGCCAACCGATTGATGCAAATGAATGCCCTTGAGGAACTTAGAAATTAAGCATACACTAGTTCATTAATATATAAGGATAAGACAAAGAAATGGCATGACATGAGACTAAAAGGTCATAAAGATTTTCATGAAGGACAAAAGGTGCTACTCTTCAATTCAAGGTTAAAGCTTTTCCCGGGCAAACTACAAAAAAGGTGGGATGGGCCATTCATTGTTAAACATGTTTTCCCACATGGAGCTATTCGGCTTTTATCAAGAGACGGAACCCCTTTCAAAGTTAATGGGCATAGAGTGAAACATTATGAAGAAGGAATGCCAAATGAAGAAAAAGAGGGGGAAATCGTCAAATTCACACGAGCTAAAACAACTTGAAGCGGGAAGGAGTCCGGCTTATGACTCCCCAAAAAGAAGTGCTTGCAGGAGGCAACCTGTGATTTTGAGTTTGCATTTTTCTTTCCTTTTATTTTATTTTATTTTATTTTATTTTCTTTTATTTTTGCTTAATGCTTTATACTCTCATTCTTCTAAATTTATATGGAATTCAACGTGGGGAATGGAATAAAACGAGTGTGGGGTGGATGGTTTTTTATAATATTTTGACCAATTTGGAGGTTTTTCTAAAAAAACATCACCACGAGGTGGCGAAAACCACCACGACGTGGTGAATTTACAGAACTCGATAAACATTTTCTCTGGGCGATACCACGACGTGGTGTCGGTTTAACTGCAGTCAAATTAGGGTTTTTAAACCCCAGTCAAAACATTTGTTTACCTTTTACTCCGCCTCTCTCTCGACGTGTTCCCTTTCCCCACGAAGAACATCCCTTTCTTCTACTCGATTTTTTGCGTTTTTCCACTAAAATGTATGATTTTTGTGTGATTTCCTTACTCTTAATCATTTCTTATGCTAGTATAGGGTATACATTTACTATTAGAACACTTTTAGGCCATAAATTAAGAACCTAGGGTTTCGATTTTTGCAAAAATCGAACCCGATTAATGATGTTTTTCATTTGATTTTGTTACCTTCCTACTTGAATTCCTAGAACAAACCCTGAAGTTGTATTGAGTTGGTATGGTGTTGAATATGGTCCGATTAAACCATAGACCTTGACAGTACGTCGACCACGATGACTCGTCGTGGTGAAGTTTTTTAAGCCCAATCCTATTTTGTTCTGATTCCTTGCATACACATGGTTTCCTCTTGTGTTCTTTTTGGTTATTTTGCAGAAATGGCTAGCCGTGCACGACGCCAACAACCCGGGAGTCGCCCTGAGTTTCCGTGGTATTCTTTTCCTAGGACTGTTGGGCCCGAGATTTACGCAAGATGGAATGCAAAACTTGACTGGATGAAGAAGCGAAAAGTCCATGTTCCTGTAGTTGTAGATTGGCACTGGATTGGACAAACCGGGTTAATGGAGGGAATTGAGCCATACTTGGACAAAGCATTCAATAGCATTCATGGGCCGTTTGTTTGTATGGGGTGGAGACGGCTATTTGAAATTCAGGAAGGCGTGTATAAGGAGTTAGTCGTCGAGTTTCTGGCCACGGTTTATTTTGCACGGAAGGATGGTATTTTTGTTGAAGACAACCTTTCTTTTTGCCTTGGTGGAAAAAGGCGTACCTTAAGCCTTGCTGATTTTACGCTAAGGACGCATATTTATCTTCCATCTGAGGTCCATTCCGAAGCTTATGAACAATATATTGCTAGATGTATTCAGATTACCAAGGGGTTCAAAGCGGAAACACATTGGAATGAAATAGAAAATGGTGCTTATGATAAGGGGACTACGCAAGAAATTGACATTCGCTCTCCTCTTCATCGTCTTTTGCACCGGCTTATCACAAACACCATTAATCAGAGACAGGAGGGGGACAAGTGTCCAACAATATACGTGTTTTTCTTATGGGCTCTTATCACCCCCGATGTTTATGTGGACTTACGATCCTTGTTGGCGGATTTTCTTGTGGCCCGAGCAGGAAAGGATAGGTTAGGTTCTCCTATTTACGGGGGTATGTTGATCACTCGACTTGCATGTTATTTTGGAATCCTTGATAAGCGCGAGGCCGTGTTTTTGACTGTGGAGTCCCATAAGCCTTTCTCTACACTATTTTATAAGAGGGCAGATATCGATGTTGATCATGGGATGGGTGGTTTTGCTATTCCTGACGATACTCCACGAGGCCGAGTCCCGAGGCGGGTAAGACAAAGAAGGGAGACTGAAGAAGAAGAACCACCATTTGTACCAACCGATGACGAGCTACCCATGGATCCCTATAGAATTTCAAGGAGGAGGTTTGATGATAATTTGGCAAGGAGTGCCAACTACACCAAAAAGTTCATTTTCCTCCTGCTTACCCATACGCACCGAGTTGGGAGGAATTGTGGAGAGAGCAACGCGGTGGAGCGGGCGGTAGTGGAGGAGGAAGTGATGATGGAGATGATGAATAATGAGCGTTCTATCCTTTTATTTTAGTGGATTGAAGACTTTGTTTATTTTATGTATTTTATTTTTGTGTGTGTTTGGTTTGTGTGGTTTGGTTGTTTGATACTTATTTCTTTTTGGTTTGGTTGTTTGACAATGTTTCCTACTTTCATTTCTCATCTTTGCTTTAGATTTCCAGGTGTAATGTGTAGAGTCCAAGAGAGGGTATTATTGGAAAAAGAAGATGCTTTTTAGAGTGTTTGTTTGCGTCAATAAGTGAGGAGTCACGCCTAACAGCTTCATACATTAGTTGGTGCCACAAATATTTCAGAAAACAGTTGATTCTGGCACACTTTCTTGCAATTTCAAGACCACCACGCCGTGGTAATATCCACCACGTCGTGGTGTCACAGTTAAAATACCAAAATCGCATTCTGTTTGGTTCACCACAAGGTGGTGCTTTTCGAGTCCGTTTTCAAGTCTGATCCCGTACATTCAGAAATCTAGCAGTTCAATAGTGGTGTCTCTAATTTTATATTCATTCTCATGGTATGGATGAGCTTTTCCCACACCATGGAATTTATTTTAACGCGATAAAGAAGTATTATCCCGGCTGCCACGACATGGTTGACACTTTCCTATGTTGTGGGGGAGTTGTTCATCACATAAGGAGGCTGCCATTATACTCTCCAATTCCGTTTTACACTTTCAAGCAACCGGGATTTTCTACACATTTCCACACGATTCGAGATGCATCTTCTACCCAGGGGAGTCTGTTCCTTTTTCTCCCTCTTTTTAAATTTTATGTTTTGCATAACATGCAATGAGGGCATTGCATGGCATAATTGTGGGGTAGGGGGTATATTATATTGCATGAGAAAAAGCATTTGATTTTAAAGTTTTTGCATCGCTAGTTTCAGAACTTGCATTCATATAGACTTGAAATAATAAGTTTAACTTAGGAAATTTAGCTAATTAAAATCTTTGCTAGCATAGTATGGGATGATCCGATGAGAACCCAAATGTTTACCTAAGCCGACATATGTTATAGTGTATTTGTGGTTTCCTTTTTCTTAGTGAAGAGTCATGAGGTATGAAAGGTAATATGGTAGCTTATATGACATAATACGTTCTGCAGCCTAAACCTGAAATCTATCCAGGAAAGCTTAGTTAGTCATTGCACCTAGACTAATACCTTAACCAATAAAGGTTGAATCTAAGCCCCTTGCTTAAGCATGTAGGATTTGAGTGAAAAAAAGTGAGATACGTGTGAAAAAAAAGAGAGAGAAATTACCAAAAAGTTCAAGAGTTTTGGAGCAGTCAAATTATGAAATTCAAAGATCAGAATTCTGAAGAAACCCAAAAAGTTGAAGATACCAAAAATCAAACAAGAAAGGTGGTGAATTCAAAGAAATCAAAGATCAAATATACAAAGAAAATGAAGAATTCAAAGAGCTCCATTGTGGTATCAAGTTGTAATTTCTAGAATTTATGTATGCTTGGTTGTTTAGCCAAAAATACCTTGAGGGTAAGGAAGATTTCTGATGATTGATTCGGAGGGTTGAAAAAATGAGTGTCGTATAAGCTAAGGGGTGAAGGTTCATAAGGATTGTGAGTATTTAGGAGTGGGAAGTTCTTAGGAATCATAAACACATGCATTGAGGTCTTGGGATAATTGTTGGGTTTGAAATGGATTGTTTTGTAATTTGCTGGTAAAATAAGAAATCAATTTGCTTGAGGGCAAGCAAAGAATAAGTGTGTGGTATTTTGATATGTGCATATTTATACACATAATTATACATCATAACTTAATATTTTAATTACTTTTATGCCCTTATTAGAACAAAAGATACTTAATTTGTTATGAATTATGTTGTAGGGATAAAAGACATGCTTGGAGCAAAAAGGAAGCTGGAAGCTGGACCTGGGAGTTGGGAGTTTGAATCAAAGCTTTAAAATGAAGAAAAAATACCCAACACGTCGTGGTGGATTTCCCACGGCGTGGTGACTTGAAGAATCCCAATTTGCTTCGAAGACTTGTAGACCACAGGATAACCACAAAGACCACGACGTGGTCGCCTTACCACGTCGTGGTGCTCTGAATTCGGGAAAACTATATATAGATCTCATTCTCCTCCAAATTGGAACCTTTGGATCTGGAAGTAATCATCACTTTTGAAGGCAAAGCACCTGTTCTTAGGCTTGGAAGCAAGGAATTTGATCAACCCATTGGAATGAGGAGCACTCAGGCAACAAATCTATACACTTTGATTTTTCATTAGTTTCTACCATGTCAAACTCTTTGAATTTTGATTTTGTGGTTTTGTTTGCTGAAATCATGAGCTAAATACTCATGACTTTCGTTTAGCCTAGGATGGATTGATTATTTATGGATTGGATTTAGCTATTTGGTTATTTGTTGATTTTGCTTATTAAAGAACCTCAAGTACTTTTGATAACTATTTTCTCTACTTATTGCTGAATTTGATTAAGTTAGTATGACTATCTTCTTAGTTAAATTTGAATCTTATGATCTTGTGAATTGCAAAATTATAGGACTAGAGTTGTGAACAAAACCTAAGGTTAAGTAGAAAAGTGGGTAAAAAGGTGTAGGAGCTAATATATGACGACAAATCATATATTGAATTGAATCAATAAACTAGATTGATCAATTGATTATAAGTCTAATCAATTCGAACCAAACACTAGTAAACTTGTAAGTTTGTCCGCTTGATCACCGAATAAATAAGCTAGTTTGCTAAAAGATTAAATTAGTGAATATTAATTTGGTCATCTTAGGAATCGGTAACTGAAGAAACTAAAATCCATTGCACTTCCATAAATCAACCATAATAACAAGTAAATTCGAAGCTAAACGAAAGTCTCTTACTCACATTGGTTAATTCATCGATGTTCTCTTGCCTAAGTTTAAGTGTTAGCTTAATTAATTGATAATTAGTTAGTTTGGTAATTTAAGTATCTAGTGTTGCAAAACTAAGAAAAGAAACCTTTTTCTAATATTATTAGTAAGTATTAAATAGTGGAATAAAGTTAGCCAAAACACCGTTCCTTGAGTTCGACACTTGTTCTTACCATAGCTATACTATTACACGATTAGGTACACTGCCTAGTGTGTTTCATAGTCTAGTGAAAGAAACATTAGTTTTATCAATTTGAAACTTGAACAAATTTATATACACATCAGTAACGGCTGAACCTTGTCGTGAGGCCTCTGATGCTCGACTTTGACCTTCCTGCAGGTCAAACACCGCTCGACAAACCAGGCAAACTCCCGCTTCATGTAGGGCCACCAATAGCTCGATCTCAGGTCTCGGTACATCTTCATGGCCCTCGGGTGGATAGAAAACTTGGACTTATGCGCCTCCTCCAAGATATTTTTGATGGGTTTTGAGCATTCTAACACTCCTAAAGTGTACATGCAACCTTAGAAACCTTGGATCTATGTTTTACTAATATACATGCAAATTTGATTTTTCCAAGGTTCTTAACCTAACTAGCATGGCATGGGGAACTTGAAACATAAAAGCTAGTAGAAGAACTTACCTTTCTTGTTGCTTGGATTCTTTGAGAAGTTTGTGAGCCTAGCACCCCAAATGTGATGCCTCAAGTGTTTCACATAACACCACAACTCTTGGAATAACTTTGAAAGAAGTACACTATCACTCAAAATTGGCTAGCCCTCTTGTTATACTCTTAGTGCCGATTTTGGTAGCTCATGGGGTCCTTTTATAGTTGTGAACAAGTAGGGTTACACCATGTAAACCTTAATTGACATGGCTTTTCATTTCCTCCATGATCCATGGGTTTTAACCTCCATGGACCATCCATGGAGAACCCTATGGGTTTTAACCCAATTCAATAAACCATGGATCATTAGCCCACTATATAAGAATAGATGATTTACACAATCAACCCCACATATTTAATTAGTCTCAATTTTGATCACAAAATTAATTCCAAATTAATTCTTGATCAATACTAATTAAATAATATTATTAATATATTAGAACTTATAATATATTAATAAACCATAAGTGTCCTTTTCTCATTTTGTCTATCCAAGTGTCATGATGCCATGCAACCCAAATGGCCCATGCCAACCGGGTCAAGTACATACCAGAAATAGTTATGAACTTAGACACCTAATCCAACACTCCCCCACTTGGATAAGTCTAATAACTATAACTGCAAGTATGACTTCAGGAACCGATCAGCAATCGTAGCTCTTTCAAAGTCTCGCGGAACTAAGATGACGTGCCATTTAAGATAAGTGATCATATGATCCTCTGCTCTCAAGATTTCAGCCGGAAAAATACATGGAACAATGTCATACTTATTGTCCAGCAGTTTGTTTCCCGATTTCCGATTTGCTTGACATAGAACTAAACTGAACACATCAATTAGTTCTGACCGGGCCCGGTATATAGGTCAAAACAAAATCATCGAGGGGCCCAGATATCGCTTTTAATCCTCCAAGGACTAAAAGGAACAGATAAACTTCAACTCATATGCTTGTTCTACTACTTGTTGAATCATACACAAAGGCACGTTTTATAACATCTAGTTACCAATCCGTTTTCGTACAATCAATGTATAACCAACTCATAGTCAACAACTCATATCTCTAGGTTTGAAGACCTATATGATATTGCCGTCTCACGATCACTCGAGATAAATTCCATGAAGTGATACAAGTGAACGTGGGTTGAATCCAATACTCGAATCGCTATTCCAGGAGTACTCATGAACATTGCAGCCCCTTTGTCCCAGACAACTGCAGACCCTTCATGACAGTCTTGCCTCATTACCTACTTCCAAAGTATGATTGACTGTGGATGGTTTGAATAATATGATATATCATAACATAATTATTCTGGAAGTCAAAACATGCAAAAATTGAAATGATAGTAAACGATTGACAGAAGATAGTAACACTTTACATATAAATAAACAACAACTTTTATTTATCATCAAATTTCAATTACACTTTACAAATTTCAGAAGATATCTAATTTCTAAAACTAATATCA